TAGTAGTAGTAGTAGTAGTAGTAGTAGTAGTAGTAGTAGTAGTAGTAGTAGTAGTAGTAGTAGTAGTAGTAGTAGTAGTAGTAGTAGTAGTAGTAGTAGTAGTAGTAGTAGTAGTAGTAGTAGTAGTAGTAGTAGTAGTAGTAGTAGTAGTAGTAGTAGTAGTAGTAGTAGTAGTAGTACTAATAATAATAATAATAAAGAAATAGAAGAAGAAGAAGAAGATGAGAACTTTGAGATGGAATATTAATGTAACGATTAAACAATGATAATAACAAATGTCAAGGTTAGAGGTTCCACTAATGGTATATCAAACAAGTATAGTATAAACTCTTATTATTGAATTGGAAACCACACACAAAGGAGGTTCCAATCAGATTATATATTGTTAACATGATTACATTAGTCATCTTATTCAATTAATGCTAATACTTGTAAATCTCGTCAAGCATTCATGATTATAACTTATGTTAACAACAAATCAAGTTCCTTTCATAGCTCAGGTGTCGGTTATACCATACATTATGGGCTATGAAAGTGCCAAGCATTTGTTGTACCAAGTGTTATACAACATAAATCAAGATTAGTCATTTAACAAGCAAAGTATTAAAGAGTGAACAAGATAACAAATATAAAACATGTTAGTATCAAACATTAAAGTCCATATTAAGTTTACATTATACTTATTCTTACACCATTAGTGTAACCTTTTCACCTTGACATAATTAACTTAGCTAGACATAATGAAAGAAAGAAAAATAAATAAACAAAATAAGAACATGAATAAGATTAAAGTTAACTAAGTAAATGCAAGGAAATGAAAGGCATAAACTTGATATTAATGAAAGCAAAGCATAAGCATTACAAAAAATACAAAGAGAGAAAGGAAGAGCATGATCTTGATCTGGAAAACTAAGATGCCTAAATGCATGGCAAATGTCTCCTTTTATAGGCCAAAATTGGGAGCTATTGATTTGATGACTAATTGATAAGTGGGTGGCCAACTTTTGACTTGGTGACAATCCTTATCTTCTCTTGTCTGCCCAAAACATCATTGATAACATCAAAATTGGAACCACCTGAAATGTATAAAAGTTGTATGAAATTATCTTAGTTTTTAAGAAAAAAAAAATAAAGGTCATTTGGATTTTTAGAACTCTAAATATGGGCCAAACACTGAATAGTGTTCGGGCTATAGAACAGATTTTGACTTCTTTGTTGTTGCTCCAATTTGGACTTAAAAAT